ATGGCCTGGGCTACTTCCAACCGGCACGGACCCGCACTCCTCATGCACCAGCCAGCCGGTCACTGCCGCGGCCCCTACCTCTTCCATGACACCGGACCCTACTACAGCTCCTACGGCATCTTCGGCGTCTCCACCCACGGCGTCTTCGTCAGCAGCCCCATTCGGAGCCGCGTGCACATTGGCAACTCTACGACAGTGTCTTGCGACTGCAGGTCAACTTGATTCTTATCTTCAAACGGATTTTTCGACGCGACTCGCGTCTTTCAAGGCGGTCCACTGGGATCGGGTGTACACGGCACTACTTGAACACAGGGCTTATTTCAAAGCACTGCCGCATCGTCGACAATGGTCGCCAGTTTGCTTTACCGTTCACACCGGCAGACCCGACACTGACAGTGATGCATTTGTTAGTGCATGCCGGCTACCATCCTCACAGCGTGCAGTTCAAGTTCACGCATGTCGATTCACCTCAGCACCTACCCAACCGACCAGGCCGGCCTATGCTGATGATCTCGCTTCCTTTTCCGGCCGCTGCACAACGCATCGGTGGTGCGCCAGCTGTAGCGTACTTTGGACACAACGCTGATCTTCAAGCGGCACTCAGCATCCTCAAAGAGGGATGCATCCGACCGAGCAATTTCGAGCCTCTAGACGCTTCGTGGTTGCCGAGCACAGCTTTTTATTCTCGCGCTTCGGTCCACAGTCTCGGCGGAGCTCTTCGTGCCGCCGCAAGGTTCGGCGGCTGGGCGTCTTCTCGTACCATCTGCGTATTCGGACGAGTACCTATCTGCTACCTCGACATTGCCAACACCGCGCCTGCCAATTCGCCATCGTCAGTTCTTCCCAACACTCCTGCCGGATATCACTTGAAGAGCGACGCCGGGGGCACCATCCCCGAGAACGCGGCGAACTACTTCGTCTCCATCGTACACGGTAATGACAACCGATGGGGAGTGCATTCGACCCTCGCACAACCAGAGGGCATCGCCGTGTTTCTCTGAAGGGAACCACAAAACAGTGCGTGTGACTGGGGTTTGATTGTTGCCGTTTACGCTTTTGCAGCGCTTTTTTCCCGCAGCCGTTTTGCTGAAACATTACAGTACACTATGGCTTCCACCGCTTTCAGTTCCGAGTATTTGCAGCTGTTCCTGGTGTTCTTCGAGTCGCTCTCTGACGGCCAACTCCTACAAGTTCGGGATGTCCTGCTTCTAGCTCATCAGAACCGGCCGAACATTAGACCCACCGACACGGCACCTCCTTCTTCGGACCATGCGGCCCCACCGCCACCGCCTCCATCGTTGGCACCGGCGACTACTACATCCCCTCCTCTTCCAGCTGGCACTCCACCCGCCAATATGACAACCGCATCTCCGGATACAGGTTCGCATTCTGGTCATGCTGCTCCCAATTCTCCTGGACCTGCTGTACTTCCTGGTGACAGTTCGGCTCCCCCGGCACCTATGGATCCGCCACCGGCTCCTGCGTATGCTGATCCCTCTCAGCGTCAATCGGGATCGCCATCGTCGTCGCCGGCGCTCCACATCCCCGCCTCCATCGAATCCATTGCCGTCGGCACCTTCTCCATCGACTCCGTTGCCCCTGCAACACTCTGAACCTGCTTCGACCGGTACAGCACCTACACCCCCAGCCGTATGCAAACACACCGGACGAGCTCTTGCCCCGAAGATGGACGCTGCCGGCAATTTGACCTACATCCCTGTCAAGGCTCGCCCCCAGCCTCCTCCGCAACACGCCGCATGGGGCGGGACTTGCATCGGACCAACCACCTCCTGGCGAACGACGACCCACCACTGGCAGGTCTCGGAGCAGACGACGTCGCCGGGACCACATGGAACGAGACCGCTCCCGGGGCCCACGTGGACATCGCACTGGTCGCACTGACCCACCTGAAACTGCTCAGCGAGAACGCGATCGTGATCGCCAACGACGTGACATGAGGTCCATGGACGCCACCAGTGGTGAACAACGCCCACCTCTGACCTTGTATTCGGTCGGCCGGAACTGAGCAAAACATTGTGCTCTTGCTGCTCCTGCTCTCCTGTGGCCTTTGGAGTTCCCGCAGCCATTTACTGTACTGCACCAGTCCTCGTTTTCCTTCAGTCACCATACTCCATGTCGTTCTTGCGCTCTGCGTCTCCCTCATCTTCTTCTTCCTGCTCGGCTTTCACTTCGTCCTCTTCGGCTACTGCGTTGGACTATCTGGACGTGCTGACCGAGCCCTTCGTGCTCTTTTGTGTTTTATTGCCTCATTTGGAACTTCGCCTACGCACCGCCCTGGTCCCTCCGGACTCGGATATGGATAACGCCTTTCCTCGTGAAGTCGCTCCTGACTCCACCTTGCGTTGCCTTTTTCCGATTGCTGAGCAACAGCCCTGGCTTTCCGCACAGAACGCGACTACCATCTCCATCATGCCCTCGCCGAGATCACCTTTCACCCTGGCGTCGTTGCCTCTTTGATGGTAACATGTTCGCACTCATACTATGCAGTCCGGGCCCTTCTTCGTGATCGTGGACTACAATACGCATTTTATGTGGAACGCACTCCCGACCTTCACCGCACATGATCCTCTCGGCCGTGCCTTTCCATTACTCACCCGTCCTGCCCACAACAAGTTCGAGGCATGGCACTTCACCGCGGACTTCGACATTGGGTCTTCGTTCCCTCCAGCTACAAGGAGTTGGGCCTGATCCGACTCAGGCGGTTTTGACGAGGCACTGTGCAGTAACCTGGACAAAGAAACGGGGCTCGATGTTGTGGTCTACAGGCACGTTTGCATTCCGCAGCCATTTTGCACCTTTGGCCTCCTTTTTGTCGCCTCCTTGCGCTTCATCCACATGGGTCCACACCGCTCTCGAACCCCGCCCTCCCAACGACATCGCCTACCCGGACGTGAGGAACCTTCACGAGGTGATCAGTATTCTTCCCAGCGCAACGCAGTGACACAACATCCGAGGTCACGATCTTTCCGGGACGGTCCTCTTCGCCATCCTTCACCCAGTCGGACACACAGCCGGACTTCGCCTCCTCGGCCCCGACGACACCGGAGCCGAACCCCGGCACTGCATACACCAGAGCATCATCGCCGACACCGCCGTGACACTTCGACAACACATCTTCGACACCGAGATCCTCGGGATGACTCTCCTCCACGTTGCCGCCTGCAGTACTCCTCACCACGCCCATCGGATCGACGACCTCGTCCCCCTCAAGATCCAGGTCGCCGTCTTCAGCAATCCGACAGCCGCGTACAGTCCGCTCATCTGCTTCATGATGACCACTCCCGCGTTCCTTCCACCGGTGCACTACCTGCTCGACATGAACCTCGCCGTGATCGTCGGGACAATCCTCCTCCTCGAGTCCATCGGTTACTTCAGGAACGATATGAGGACATCCACCCACTCGGGGCAAATTGGGAGACGAACGACATGTTCCTCGACACCAACTCGGATCGCGGATTCCCTTTGCCACGCCACGTCGTCGACACTGCGTTTACCAGGCGCCTCGGCATTGCCGAGATGCCAATCCATTTAGTACCCGTGGTATCTCTCACTCCGAATGCGGGACAAGCGTGGATAGTACGCTTGCTGGCCGCTGGCCGCCCTCTCGCCATCGAGATCTTCAGGACGCGGCAAGAAGCTCTTCTTGCTTCGTTCATCATACGGACACTTCGGAAATCAGCTGAACAGTACGACATCTCCGATGTCCTCAAACAGTTGCACGAGAGCAACAGTGTTGCCACCGAAGGTCCACGCGACCTTACTATTTGGGCGTATCGGGCCCAGCTCTTGCAACACGTCGCGGATAAGGTTGCCGCGACCATCAATGATCTCCTACCCCACGGTGATGCTGCTGCTGGACGACCTGGACTCCTTGACCAAATTCAACGATTGCAGCAGGAGAACGACCAACTTCGGATGCATGCTGCCGGCACGGGCGCTGAAACCCTGCCTCATCCACTTGCGGAGCCCAACCCACCACCAGACGCTGCCACCAGGCTCCGCGACTCCTTCACAGCGTTTGAGAAACTTGATCGCCGTGCTGTTCTTCAGTCCAACTCGCCCAAAACAGCTTCTACCACCGACGTGAAGAAATGGCTTGACAATCTCCTGAAACTCCATCGCGAATCCTACACGACGAAGCTCACCGAGCTGCAGGGCATCTTGCGCGAGGCCGCCTCTGGTGTCCTCCCGCCCCTCGACAAAACTCTAGTGGATTGCGGGTTATCCGTCACCCTGGCGTCCAAGTTGTCGGAGGCCAATCAGCACAAATTACTGGCGATGACCGCGGTTCTCGCCACCTTCAAGCCGGCAGCCGTCCCCGCCGCTGCCCCCGGTGCCTGAACATCACCCGTCACTTCCACGTTGTCAGCCTGCACGGGTACACTGCCTTTGGTGCAATTTTGCCTTGCCGTGATCGAGTTGTGAAACAGCTCCGGTTTTGCACTGCCCCTGCCCCGGCACTGTCTTCCAAGCTTGGACCATTCCGCAGCCGTTTATTGCCAAGGGTTTCATTGCCTTACATCATGTCGCTCCAGCTCGCCACGCTCCCGTGCGGCTTTGTGCACCAGCTTCTGGATTACCACCAGCACTTGTTTGCATACACCGTGGCCGCGACTCATCCTCCTATTGATGGCACTCCATGCACCTCTAATCGTCAAGCCCCACCACACCCCGATGATGTCATGATCCGTGACCGCCTGGCCGAACTCATCGATCGCCACACTAATCTGTTCTACGGGTTCTTCCGCATCGGGGACAACTATTATCATGGCTTATTTGTGCTGACCTTCGACATCGGCGTCATTGCGGCACTTTCTGCCACTAACCGACACCTCAACGATGTCCTCGCCATCTACCTCCTTGCCCGCTCCATGACCACAGTGGCACTGCTACCCGCTCATCGTTCTGGCCCTTCCAGCCTCCTTCGACGACGTCTTCCACTCGGATCGGAATTCCAGAGCATCGTACGGTTTTCATCTTTGACCTACCGGTTGGGCATTCCTGCCTACTTGACCGCGTTCGATTGCACAGAGGTCTCGGAGCGGATGATTGCGCGACACAAAGAGTCCATTCTCACTTCCCGCCGCCTGCTTCCTTCATCCTCACATGTTACCTGATGTTTGTTGTTCCGCAGCCCCTTTTAGCCTTTTGCTTCTTCGAATCTTCGACACGCCGATGGCGAACTTCGTGGCGGAGACGCTGCTGGACCTTCCCACCACTGCCGAGTACAGCGAATGGGCGGCCGCGGCCAGGGAGTCCCGTCGTGATCGTGCTGCACTGCCTCCCTCGATTACTGTTCTCTCGTCATCGTCCGGAGTCAACCCCACTTCTTACGCCTTCACCGACGTCCCGGTCAACTTTTGGCTATCTCCGTTTTTGCTACTTCGCGGCTGGCTTGTACCCTTCTCCCAAGCTGCACCTCGACCGCACATCTACAACATCATGAACGAGGTCATGGCGGAGGCAGCCAACATGTTCCATGAAGTCGTACACATCGCTGATAACTCCTACCACGGCCTCTTCGAGATCGTGCTCGACTTATATGTCACAACCCAACTTCTTCAGGTCAGTCGTACGATGAACTACGAGGTCATGCATTTCTTGCATGGCCGCAACATCACACACTTCATTACCCGAGACGTTCATCAACCACGACCTTCTCAACTACTACCAGGTGAACCTGCCCCTCGCATGCGCGGGCCATTCCTTCCTCCGCGCGCGCTGCCAATCGGCACCGCCTTCGCTGATGTGGTACGGTTTTCCGATGCCGTGCTGACTTTGATGATCCCTCACGAACTCCATACGTGGGAAGCCATGGAGCTGTTGCAAACCCAGATAAGGTGCCTACGAGCCCGCTCTTACTTGCTGTTGGGACAATGCCTTCACTGCCACCGGCGCGCGTTTTTGCCCCAGTCGCTGCCGCTGCCACGTCTGGTTCTTGACATCGTGATCAGCACTCACCTCGGAACCCTTTTATGCT